GTTTAGAGTAATAAGATTTCCCAGATAATCTTACTTTAAAGAGAGATCTTCTAGCCATTTCCAAAGCTTCGACACTACTTGCGTGCAGAGGCTCTAACATATACCCTTCTCTATGCTGTGAATCAGCATGAACCCCCACCCTCAAATTAATGTTTTGAAAACAGACTATAACAAGGCCATATTTGGGGGCTTCATGCACACACAGACATATGAGTCTATGCTCAAAATGGGGCAGGGAGCTATCTACAGTGGGACAGGCCTTGGCCAAACATGCCTTGGTAGTAAAAGATACCTCTTTTTCTCCCAAACCAAGGAAAGCCTGCATGAGCTATGGCTGTGGTCACACAAACTAAATAATCCACCTTCAATCCACTTTAAATGCACTTTCCACCTGGATTTTACTGTGTGAACTGGCAGAATCCAGTTGCAAAGTGCACTGAAAGTGGATTATTTAGTATGTGTGACCGCAGCTTATGTCTGCTGGAGCCTGTCAAAAGCAACAAGACACTAGCTCCTGTTAGCAGGTTCCATTGGCAGCAGATTGATTTGGGAAGGGAGAGAGGCATCCTTCCTGCCGACCCCCCTGCTCAAGGCAATCCACCTGAACTACAGCTACTGGCAAAGCATGGAGCATCCCCTCCAATCCCTTCCTCCCCATTTACATCACAATGGTAGCAACCTTCTCTCAAGTGTGTGGATTATGCTATACTGAGGCTGCGGTCACACGAAGCATTAGCCACGCTACTGAGACGGATGATAGGCGGATTTTCCGGGCGTGATCACATCGCAATATCTGGGAAGCATAGAGCTCCCATGGCGAACCAGAGGCTTCCCGCCGAAGATGTGGAGTTAAAAACTAGTGCCTCCGAGGTACTAGTTTCCGGAAACCGCGGGGCAAGGGCTGGCGTCTGATCGCGTTTCTGGTGGTAGTCCGTGGCATCCGGCGCCCGCCCATGTCCCGTCGCAAACAGGGTTTTCCCCAAGTCTCCACAGGAAGTGCACAAGCACCCAACGGCGCATGCGCATGAAGAGGAAAGCAAAAGTTCAGTTGCTCTGCAGAATCGTGCATGCCGTTGGTGAGATCGCGCCACACCACTTCTTTGCCGCGCTGCAGGATCGTCGTGTGATCACCACCTCGCCCCTACCCACGGGACCTCGACGGGACGTGTGATCGGGCAGCTGCGCATTATTTTGCTCCGGGCCAAACTGCCACGCTCCCCCCCCCACATTTTACGGCCTGTGTGACCGGGACCTGAAAGGGGGGAGAAGGAAGACCAGCACACTGCTAGCTGTTCAGTGTGTGTGTGAGTGAGTATTAACAGGATACATTCGGACTCTGTGAGATGCCACCACAGTCCACAAACTCACCTGTCTTTGAAATTATATAAATTTTGAAAGTGGAATACTACTTATTGACTTGTATTCAACCAACCACCAGCAGTACACTGACTTTCCCTATGTTCCTTCCTCCACCATATGGTTGTCTTCAACATGCAGAAAAGTTATTCTTGAGATCATGGGGCCCATGTGGAAAAACAGGGGCATGGGTTAGAGGGTTGCAGGGAGGAATGGGAAAGGAGTAAAACCTCCAACCTCTGTCTCCCATCTGTGCAGCTGCACCCATAGAATAGGGAGGAGTGGTGATTCCACCACCATCTTCCTCCTCACTGCACCCTCCCTCTTCCTGAGGGTCAAAAGGGATAGCATGGGGGAAGAGGAATGCAGAGAAAAAGCATGCATCTCCCATCAGTAGTTGGCTGGATACAAGCCACTGTCTCTACTACTATTTAATGAAAGCCACATTTAGGCCTTTCCACAAGGCTATTCAAAATGGCTGCAAGTTCTCTCTTCGTTTGGGAAATTCCAAAATGTAAACAATGCTGGTAATTCTCCTTTAAATGTTTACCACAAGTTTAAAGAGGTTGTGGGCTTCATTGTGTCCATTTGGGTATATATACAAAAAAGCAAGCAATAGGTAATTACTTCTTGACTCTTCAGTTTGGATACTCAGCTGAGGTCCTTTCCACATAGCAGTGGTTGGTCTGTTTCCTCCAAATGAGCCATGCCTTCTTGCTGCCTTGTCCTCTTCTCACAGAGTACTAGTGAGCAAGGAAGCCAATAATTTATTCAGGCTTGGCTACTTGGTTGGTTTAAAGCTCCTAACCATTTATTTTGGAGCAAATTCATTTGATTCAAGTGGGTTGGGGCAACTGGCTTGGGGACTCCTGCATATACAGAGCAGTGCTGATAAATTCACTGAAAGCTGCAATTGACAATTCAGCTTCATTTATTATTTCATAAGACATGGATCACAGATTTACATGGATGGAACAATCCATCTAAGGTGAGGCAGCCATAATTGCTCTTTGCCTGCAGTGAGATCTAGGATATTTTTTCCTGAAGGAAAACGAAGTGGCTTATAGAAAATACCGAATATAATTCTAACAACAAAATCCAATTTAAACAAACAAAAAACACTATACACATCATGGGTGGGTCCTAGTTTGCTGCACTGGCTAATATAAGCTCCCTTTGGGCCTTGTCCTTCAGCTCATGCCCAAGGGCTTATGTCTCTGGCTATGCACAGGCTAAGTATCTGCAAGCAAAGGAGAAACAAACTCAGACCAAATCTTAGTGAGTTCCTGCAAGCTGGCAGGTTCTTCCCCATTTCCTTCCCTGATAGAAATGCCCCTAGCTATACCCAGGCTAAGTATCTGCCAGGGTCAGGATGTGAGGTCAAAGCTCACAGATCTCACTGAAGATAAGCTTCACCAATGGTGTTTTAAGGCAAAGTCAACAGAATGTGTTTGTTTGTGGTACCATGCCTAAAGTGCACAAAGTATTAATAATAAAGGGTGCTTCTGAACATATATAGAATGGCTTGGGGCCTGTGTGTATTTTATAAAACTTGGCACTGGCCTCAGAACTCTGCTTCATAAGAATCTCATCTTTTATTTCTTTTAAAAAGCATTTTCTAGTCCTGATTTCAATGATATGTTGGAAAGCTTAGAGGCAAGGCTGGCGAATTCTCAGAAGTCAGAAATATTGCTGAATAAGATTTAGAAGATGGTGCTAGAGGACAGAGCACAGACAACAGAAATCAGGTGAAATCTCACAAATGCACTTACCTTGCATAATGTATGCACAATGAAGAACTCTGATTACTTCAGGGTTTTAGTTCCTTATTCATTTATTTTGTGCAGCTTTGAGAATGCCTTTCCCTCACCACCCAATACCCACAACTAGTATTCAATAGCAGCAACTATGGAGCAAAATTCTAGACCAAAGTGTTTGGCTTCCAAACAGGCTTAATCCCCAGTCCCGCCCTCCTATTTTTTAAACTAGGTATTACTCAATGGATTCATAAATTTATGCTTCTCACATTATATCATCCCTAATTCTGCCTCCAGACCACAGAACAAATAATGATTCTGCTAAATCCTGCCTCAATATAAAATAGGGAACTGGTCTGATCTAGTCTAGTCTATGGGGTTTTTACAGAAGTTATACAAACCCAGGTACAGAATGTACTATTACAACACATTACTATTACAACACACTGCAAAGGAAAGTCTGACAGAGAAAAAAAACCTAAATCTGAAAATAAATGAATTGTATGTACCTTCTGTATTTGAGACTAAGACTGTGGTCACACTGGAGGCTTGGCATGATCTGGTGGTCCCTCTATTTGTGGTGGTTTACATCTTTGCAGGAAGGGGTGACCAGACAGCACACCCTGAAGTGGCCTCACTGGGCGCTCACCCGGTGGTCAACCGTTCAGATTATTGCTGCAGGGCAACCATGGAGTGGGTGGTCGGGCGGCTTCTTTTTTAACTTTGTATTTTGCATATGCACATAACTGCTTATTTGAACCACTGTTTCATTTTGACAGCTGGAGGAGGCTGCCTCCCCCTCTGAAAAAACTCACTTTTCAATTAACCCCTTCCCCCCCCTGTGTGCTGCAAAGCTGTAGGCAGAGGCAGAGGCATGAAAAAAGGCAAAGGAGGCTTCTCAGTCTGCCCTTCCCTCCCCCCTCACCTCAGAGGACAGCCGAAAGCCTGGTGGTATGCATGAAGATGTGGTTATGCACACATCGCTAACTGACTTAAAAAAAACAAGGATCAAAAATGGAACAGAACGATCAGACTTCCCAACTATGTTGAGCTTGCACCAGGGGAGTTCAGACATCCAGAAATTTGGAGTGAAAGCACTGATATCCATAAACACCGGACTTTCCCCAGTGCCTGATTACTCCACTTCCAAAGCAGAGCAGAATGGGGTGGTGATGACTGGGGCCGGGAAGGCAGATGTTGCTGTCTCATCATGCTGTTTAAATCTGCAAAGGTACTGCAACAATATCAGCGCAAACTGCTCATGTGACCACAGCCTATAGTTCTGTTCATATAAATCAGGGGTGGCCAAACTTGCTTAACGTAAGAGCCACATAGAATAAACATCAGATGTTTGAGAGTCACAAGACATGAACAAATATTACATGTTTTATTGGAAAATATGCAAATTTGCTTTTTATTACATTAAATGAGAGTGCCAAAAATAACAACGAAAAGCAGATATTGCTTTTCCAATGCTTGTCCATTGCTTGTCCAATGATATTTGTTTCCTTATGATATTTAGCTTCCCCAGCTGCCCTGCCGGGAGTCGCATAATATGTGTGAAAGAGCCGCATGTGGCTCCTGAGCCACAGTTTGGCCACCCCGATATACATCCTAGTAAGCCTCTGCTTAGTGCCTGCAGCATCACTTAAGTTTCCATGCTTCTGAAGGCTCATGAAGGGTTTGGGGAAGGGTGTTTCATTGGGGGGGGGGAGGACAAAGTTGTTACAGAAGAACTTAGCTTTTGTTTGATAGAGAAGAAAAAACATTGCTAACTTACTTTTGCAGAAGGTATTTTTTTAAATTGAGCACCTTGATTACCCTAAAAAAATAAACATTGCATAACCAGTTTAAAAAGTTTAATGATAAAATTGATAAGTGATTTACCTGCTTTTGTTCTTCTCCTAAACTGTCCCACATTGATGCAACAATTTTTGATACATCCCCAAAAGTTGCATTGGGGTTCTGTCCTTTGATGGCTGCTTGTGTATCTCTGAAAAACAGGGCATAAGCAGACACTGGCTTCTGGGGTTCATTTGGGTCCTTCTTTTTCTTCTTCTTTTGGTTTTTAGGTTTTTTGCCCAGATCTGTCAATGGTCTCTTCTCCCCAGTTACCTGTTGAACGTCAAGAAGGATCATTAGTGACTGCACTTCATATTATTTTTGCTTTGTATCAAAGCTTCTGCTGAATTTGTACTGGGGAGAAAAAGAAGTCAATAAGCCAAGAGAATTAAGACTACCCTGTATAGAAAAATTGCTTTCTGCTTTCTATATCCACATGCCTTCTCCTGTGATTACATTATGATAACATGCTGTGTCTTATTTCCTGTTGCAAGCCAAATGGTGAGGCCACATGGCCTCAATAGCCATGCCATAAACCCACATTCTTTCATACTTTCATGCCAAAAGCCAGACCTCATGGCTACACTTTCTGGCCGACTTGCGACCAGTCACGTACACAATGAAGTAGCTGGAGTTTGGGTCAGATGACTGCAACCTACAATTGGGCACACCCATGCCCACTCGCAATTGGCTGATGGTCACATCTAATTTGTGGCTGGAATTGGGGTATAATTGTTTGATCCCTATGGGAGTGAGCTCTTCTTCTTGTTCTCGAGTCTCTTGCTCTCTCTCCTGTCATTGTCTGTTTTATTGCACCTGAAATGCTGCCTCTTGAGAGACAAAGAGTTGCTTTGTGAACTGGAGCACATGGGTGTGCAAAAATGGGATTTCCATTCAAAATCCCTTAGACTATTCTGGACTGTGGATGTTCCTGATGTGGTAACTATGTATCTTCAATGTGTAGTTAAGGCAAATTGCCCTAGCCTTTGTTGTTTTTGTAATCTCTGGTAGTATATGCTAAGCTCTGTACTGAATAAAGATCCTTCTTATTGCTAATTTGTCTCTGGTGTTGTAACTGAATTCCAAGTCTAAGCCCTGTACACACCCCTTCCAAAAATAGCCTCTCCTATTGTTCCCTTTCCTTAACTGAGCTGCTTAAGAATTTCAGCTTTTCATGAATTATGGTGCAACTAAAATACCGATAGACTCACAATTCCTGTAACAAATGTTCTTTTCACAGCTGTGACTTTTTATACACACTCACAAAACAGGGACTTTATACATACATCTGCATATGGGCAACAGGATTTATGTGCACTGTGTACTCTTTCTGCTACCCAACAGATAGCTTCACAGACACATGCAAATTTTAAAAATTCTCATTATTCAGTTAATGAATAATCTGTTGAATTGCAAGCTGAATGCGTGAACTCCATTGAAAAACGCTGTATGTGAGGTTGTGTAAAGTGCTACTGATATGTTTATTTAGAAAATGCATCTCCCACATTTCTACTTTGACAAGTGCTCAAGGCAGCATACAAAGAAAATTTTAAAAGAGCACCAAAAACACAATAAAAACCAACAATGAATCAGATTTCAAAGTAACTAGAAAGCCCTACAGGCAAAACAAAACCCTTACGCTATGATCACTGAATTAAATTAATTAATTAAAAACATTTCTATCCTGCCTTATCTCCTTGAATTCAAGGTAGTGAACACTGTAGAAACCAAATTGCAAAGGCATAAATTACAATCCAGTTGAAAACACAAGAGTTAAAATATACAGGACCAGCAAACTCACAGTCAGTTCTGCTGAAAAAATTCATATTCCACTATAGCTCTCTGGAACATGACTGTTGTATACACCTTCCTAAATGTAGTACTTGAAGGCTCCCTCTTCACTCATTATGACAGTCTACTCCAAAGGACTGGGCTCACCACAGAACAGTGATTTTGCTGTGGCTGTACAGGCAGTTCTGTAAGCGAAGATTATCAACCAAGGCTGCAAGTGCTGTTTAAGTCCCAAATCCTGGCCTAAAGCCAAGTTGAAACAAATCATGGGAAGATGTTTTATCCAAAAATGTCTGCAGTTACTCTGCCACAACCTGTTCAATCAACTTTGATCAGAAAAAATACAAGCCGACTGTCCATACCCCTCTCATCTAAAGAGGGCTTCTTATGAAGGGGCTTAATCACAGCTACTGTTAACTGTGAAGGAAACGCTCCTTGTAGTACGGACATAGATAGTCTTCACCAAAGGTTTTAGCACCTTCTCCTGGTAGGATATGAATAGACAGAATGAATAAGGATCTAGTATGCAGAAAGTGGCCTTCACAACCCCAACAAATCTGTCAACATCACTCATGGAAACCAAGACTGGATGAAAAATATTTTAACAGCGCAGAACTGGACAAAATCACCAAAGCTAATTTCCTAATCAAAGTTGAAAGTGTGTGGCCCAGAGAACATCAAGCCTTGAAGCACCCTAAATAGTGGACGAGATTCAGCCAATGCAGAAAAGAAGGCCTTCTTTGCCACCATTGTTGTTAACCCATAGGACCTTAAATGGGCTGTATAGTGTGTTTTATCTGATTTGGCATGAGTTTTCCGCTAATGGCACTCTAACTGGTTCCCTAAACTCTGCACAGTTCCACTAAACCAAGTAGTTGGTACTCTCCTATGGGAAGAGCACTGAGAAGCAGTTCTGTGAAAAGCACCCTGCAAACCAGTATTCCAGGCTAGTACCAGCGCCTCTAGGGAGACACCATCAAAAGTGCCCAAAGCAATCTGGAAACATATTGGCTCCATCAGTCTCTGTGCTTCTATCATCTTAAAGGATCCTCTGCCCTTGCAGAGGGATCTAGGCATCGTAACCTTCTCTATTAGTGAGTATGATCTGACCACGGCAGAGGCTGCAGTATCAACCTTTCTACCAGAGCATCCTCAGTGCAGGAAAAAAGATCCAATGTAAGACCACTCTCATGTGTTGGGCCCAATAAAAGCCCTATGGTTTGTCATAAAGTCCTGAGCCGAAACTGTTTGTAGTGGCTTATTTACATATGCAAATCATCATCAAGTGATAAAAGTTACCTGCTTGTAAGCCTTCTAGCAGCATGTGACTGGTCACTCTGTAAACCAGGATGCTGGGCTAGGTGGATCATTGGTCTGATCTAGCAGGGCTGTTCTTAGGAAATCACTCCTTCTCCTCTACCACTGGTGGCTTGTGTTGGATCCAACCCACTAGATATTACTGGCACAACTTTCTTCTTTGGAAGAAAGTCAGGATAAAAATCCAAACCAACAAAATAAATCCTTAGGGAAAAGAGAGGAGGAGGAAATATAGGGCTGCGGCTTTTTACTATCAGCCATGAGTGTCCTATAATGTCTGGTTCTCACATCATAAACTAGGTGTTCCAATGTGAACAGATGGGAAGAATCTTCTTACTAAATCCCCAGCCTTCATCTCTGCTTGGCTCCCCTGGATACTCAATATTTTTGAGGACTCAGCCAGTGATTGACAGGCAAGGCCTTTTCTGCCCCCACCCCCCATGCTATTCTGCTAAGTGCCTTTTGTGGCATTAAAGAAATTCTAATATTTGATATTGTACTGCTTACCTTGTCCATATCCTTTACAGCTACAGACAGTATCAAAAGCCCTCCTCAAAGTCTGATTAATGGACCTATTGTACTCTCTGCTGCCCATCTTGTTACTTCTCCAGAGACATTAATGATTGGGTTAGTTGAGCATGTCCTCTCTATGGTGAAGCCCAGAGACTATTTATTTGGCTTCCCGCTAAACATCAGCATCAGTCGTTTTGGAATCTGTCTCTGTCCAGAGGGCTGAGCATTCCTTCTTTCTTTTTGTTAAGTAAGGACTTTGTGTGTTGGAGAGAGAGAAAGAGAGACCTCTTTAATCTCTCATTTCTGAACAGCAGCCCAATAGTTCCATTCCAGCTATGCCTAGACACTGAACTTTAATGTTCCCTACTGCCTAGCATCACTGTGCAGTTGCTTTCACTTGCCTTTGTGTTGTTTAGATTTACAAATGTCAAAACTGCTTTCTGTGTGGGCGTTGCAATGCTTTCTTCATTCTCTGTTATGAACACTAAGGCTAAAGATCAAACGCAACAAGATTTCTAAGAAATATCAGCTATTTCTTCTCTCCTTCCCCCAGGGACCCGTAATCTCCCTTGGCAATTCTGGCAAAACAACTCCCTAGGGAGTTTCAAGTTTCTTTCACTAACCAAACCCTCTTTTGCAGCCTGTGATCTCCACAGTAATCTCTAGTGCTTTCCCAGCAGGTTTCATTCAACTGTGTACACATTTTCACCAAAAACTACTGACAGAAGTGTTAACATCTTAAGTGATGGTGATCTTTACATTTTATCCTCTGCTGACAATATTGACTTTTCTTATACAATCTGCATGCAGCCACATATCTCATACACATGCAAAAACATTGTGAAAGGACATCTTTAGTATAGGTAAATTAGCATGACTTAAGGAAAAGTCTTACACTGCTATCCTAAGCAGGTATACTCAGTTTTCTATTCAGGTATTTTCTATGGGGCTTACTTCCAGGAAAATATTTAATGTAATGTTAATGTATTACTTGTGTCTGCATATATTAAAGCAGGCATGCAAATACGTTGACAAAAGTTAATAGGCCACAATCTTTTTTATTTGCTTGCTAGTTTGTAATATACTCATGTTAGGCAGCTGAAAGAAAAGAAAATATGATTCCCCCCCCCCCCAAAGTTTCCCTGGTCAGTCACCAGGAAAAGTCACTTACTGTCACTGGCTGTTTACAAATCTGTAATAAAGCAACCTAAATAATTTTGCATTCAATCTGAATAATTTTGCCATCCATATTTTTTAAAAAATCTACTGCTCAATCTGTACCCTTTCCCATTAAAAGCACAAGAGAAAGAACAAAGACCATGGTTTGGAGGTAGGTGAGATATAGTTGACCAACTAGACAGAAAATCACTGGCAGTAGAAAAACAGAATAACTGCTCCAGGGACATTTCATATACAGTTTTCCTAATGGAGACTGTAATTTGTGTGTTCATATATCTTGTATTGCCCATTTTATTTTAACTCCTTCTCTTCACATGATTTCTTTCTCCAGATTCTGGAATTCTGAATTTCCTAATCTCATTTCTGGTGCAGTATGAATTCATTAACTATCTGTTTTCTGTTTGTATTTATTCATTTATTTGGAAAATTTATACACTACCTCTCCAGGGAACCAGCCCGAGGTGGCTTACAAA